GCTACTTGCGTGTTCAATGTACTAGTATAATTAAGCCACTCTAAGGGCGGCATAACAAACCACACACCGATGCGCAATGATAGAGCATAGAGGTGGGTTCACAGATGAGTGGCCATCCATAATTTCCTAGAAGTCTAGAATAAATGTTAAAACTGTCACCGCAAATTCAATGATGCGTCGAATTGAATCACGTATGAACAGAAAGGAGGGAGATGGTCGTTTCGTACACAAGTAACTGAAAATGATCGACGGGGTGGTGTAGGAATATCCGTTGTGGGGGCACTTGGCTTGTATACACAGAACCTAAGGGTGTTTTGCAGAATCAAAAACCATCCCTTTCCACTATTTTTAGTCCCCGAAAACGAGGACTTATAATTTCACCCCCGTGATGTGGCCCGTCTGTATTTCAACCATGCCTGGGCCGATTTCAATAACACTTCACGCATCGCATATCATATAATTTTAATGCACATAATTCGTTTCACGATCTACTACAAAATGGCCGTATTTCGACCATTTTAGTGCTTACAACTCATCAAAATCAAGCATTTTTTGTAGTAACATATTTCAAATGTGGTAAGTCAATTGAACATAATGCGTCCTTGATGAGCGTCATTTTTTTAGATCAGATTGAAAATGGCCGACTGGCGGCCATTTTGTTTAAACAAATGCAGTTCCAGCGTCATGTCTCTGACATGCTTTGACCGATCACATTCAAACTTGACACATATATCATAAATATATTTTCGTCTGATTTCATTCAAAATGGCTGACTGGTGACCATTTTGTTTGATTTCGACGAATGCTGTGTTTGAAGCCATAATACTAACATGACTGGACTGATCATGTTCACTTTACACATACATCATGTCACACATTTATGTATGTATCTGTTTCAGAATCTTATTCAAGACAGCTGATCGTCTTTCGCGCTAAAATGCAGTATGAATCTCATGGACAGAATAAAGCAAGGAATTACACTAATAACCTGGTTTCACTTTGTATCATGTCTGTCACATGAGTATAAATGATTATTTGGCAATAATGTGGACAGTCACTAACCACTGGACGGAGACTTGTTATTGACAATGACTTGTTCAAATTCAAAAATCATTTCACTTTTGATAAAATGCAGATTTTGAATGATTTAACCATTTATTAATTATTTAGATCGTTCTTCATATTACCGTGTAGGAGATTGGTTTTCCTCCATGAGATATGAATGCTGCTTGTTACATGGAGGTAAAATACCTCTTTTACCCCCATGCTTGTAACATACATCTATATAACTGGGTCGGGTCTTCGTGGTGGCAAATTTGAAATCGGGAAACAACTACCTTATACCTATTCCCGAGTAATTGTGAAACTAAACCCACGAGAACGTGTACAATTACAATATAACCGAGTCAGAGTTACAATTCTAAAATGACATACTATCGCTGAAAATTAATGCTTTACAGCTATGTGTATTCATGAATTAGTCGGGGGTCACGTGAGTAAAACGCCGAACACCACCATGCGGCCGATTTCGATGATCTACGACGTACTTATCGACAATACGAACAAAGCGTTCCTACTAATACCATTGATCAATCGTCGCACAGTCACCATGGCCCCCTGAATTCAAGACGTTAACTGGTATAATGAGCTGAAATGTTTCAAATAGTTTATCGCAATGCAGCTAATTCAAGGCTAAACATAAATATGATAGCGTGAAGAACATGAATTTGCTGCGCTGTTGTATATACATGTGGGTTCCTTCACGTGAAACCAGAAGACAAAACGTGTACATACTGTTATCGTAATTATTATACAATCGTTTCGGTGTAGATAGAATATATAATATAGAGAGTTGGTTACGACTAGGAAAATAAATAATTTATGCATTTTTTTCTTGCTTATAAGCATTTGTGTTATTTCAATCGTACTATTATTTTGACACGGTACATGTTGGTTATCTCCCTACCAAAACGATCGAGAAATTAATCCCACAATTCCTGAGCATTTCCTATACTAGTATATCATGGATAATATAGCGCCATGGGTGGATTACGGCAACCGAGGTGGCTCACAACATAGCATTTTATAAAACCATTTTTACAATTCATTTTTATTTTATAATTCATTTTTAATAACCATTTTCGGTTCTGAAATCGATTTTTGTTTCTGGTATATGTTTTCTTTAAAAAAAACAATTGTTTAAATCCATTTTCGTTTTTTAAATCCATTTCTAAAATGTGTTTTTTTATTTTCAAAATTATTTTCGTTTTTAGGAGATCCACTTTCGTTTTTAAAATCCGTTTTCATTTTCAAAATCCATTTTTGATTTCAAAATCCATTTTCTTTTTTTAAATCTATTTTCATTTTTAAAATCCACTTTCATTTTAAAAATCTATTTTTTTTAAATCCGTTTTTATTTTTAAAATCTATTATCACGTTTTTGTTGACATTTGAAGTATAGGTATATACGTATTTTTCACGTTGAAGCAAATTTGCCATCAGAATTTACATAAAAATCGCTGTTGTTTCCCCGCCTATCGCATTAACGTTAACCGTTTTTACGGTAATGGTTTTTACAAAGATTCTCATTTCGATTCGATATTCGATTTGTGTTTTGTATCCCGGTTTTGTTTAGTATCATTTCAACTTTACCTGATAGTTTTTTTTTTTTTATTTTCACCAATGATGTTTCCATTGTAAGACTTCTTCAGGCTATAACTTTAGCCGTGGTTCCGCGGCGATTTTGGTCCATCAAGGGTTCTTGGCTAATTCGGTCGGCTTACACTTTGGCGTCAAATGCATTTGTGGTCAGGCTTGTCCACCGACGACGTTGCCTTGTTTACCAACAATACCCTACCCGGTACCAAAACGCAGCAAAACCACGGCTATAACTTATTCTAATCAACCTTGGAGCTCTCATTTTATCAGCTGTAACGTTGATACTCAGATTAGAACAAGTTATAGCTGTGGGTATGCTGTGTTATCGTACCGGATAAGGTACTGTAGGTATACAAGGCAGCGCCATCTGTGTATGTACAGGCATTCCACGCCACAGCGTAAGCCGACAGATGAAGCTTAGAACCCTCTATGCATCCAAAAACGCCGTGGAACCACGGCCAAATAGATTATAGTCTGAAGAAGAAATTGCGTAAATAAGCAATAAATATCATGAAAACGTCACTGGTGGAAATAAAACAAATGCCAGAATCCTAGTTACAATTCCTAGTCATGTGGTATGAGGCCAGAGGGCGGGGTCACAGGTCAAAAAGTGAAAACGAAAATGGATTTTTAAAATGAAAATGGAATTTGAAAACCGAAAATGGATTTTAAAAATGAAAATGGATTTTAAAAATGAAAATGGAATTTGAAAACGGAAATGGATTTTTAAAATGAAAATGGAATATGAAAACAAAAATGGATTTTAAAAATGAAAACAGATTATAAGACGAAAATGGATTTTAAGAAAGAATATGGAATTTTAAAACGAAATGGAATTTTAAAAATGAAAACGGATTTCAAAAATGAAAATGGATTTAAACAACTGGTTTTTAAAATAAAAACAAAACTCAGAAACGAAAGTGGGTTTAAAAATCGATTCCAGAACAGAAAATGGTGTTTAAAAAAGGATTATAAAATATAAATGAGTTTTTAAAATGTAAATGAATTGTAAAAATGGTTTTATAAAACGCCATGTTGTGAGCCACCTCGGTTGCCGTAGTGGATGGACCTGGATTTATTTCGGGAATAAACTAAAATAAGTTGTACCAAGTTACATAATCATAATAATACTGTACAATGATCTTTACGACTCATAATAGTGAGTGGCGCTGGTGTTATTTTACACTTTACATCACCGTGTTGCCCAGTGGTGCATTGTGCCCTCGTCTACGTTGCAGCGACATCGTTATGCGCAGCGACAATGCCGGGAGTCAAATATTGAGGGCGTAGTGGAGGGCAGTATTATAAAAAGATCAAGAAAACTCTAGACTATTATATCATGCTTTACGACATTACGTAATTTTTTTTTTTTGATTTTATCACCAATATCATTATTACCTTCTAAACATATTTAAGTTCGGCAGTAATCACCAGTCTTTTTCATGTTATGCCATATGTTCTGTATTCGTATCGGATTCATAATAGCGCCACCAGTAATCAGTATATAAAGCCAATAAATTTCGTCATTTTCGTTTTTATTTCATCATAATGAAACCATGAATTAATACCCCGAGGAATTCCACTTACAACCCCTTGTAGGTGTTTTTACTTTACAAAAATACAAGTCCCTATTCACGGCCACCCAGAGTACTACACATGTTTGTTATTTCTTTGGATGTAACACGACACGTTAAAAGCTGTTTCCGCTATAACTTGAAAACGGTTTGAACATTTCCGTTAGTATCAGTATCAAACACCCAGTGTTTTACAGTGTACTTCTAATATTTGTTGTTCAACGTGGAAAAGCTCAGAATGTTTTCACGCAAATACTCGTCACCTTCGCAGAAATAAACTGTGACGCAACTGTCAATTTCGTTGCTATTATTTTTTACTCACCCGATATCAAATCATACGGCTGCAACACATAGCAGGACATTGTACACTTTCCAAGAACACAATCATAACTAGGCTACTGTGTTTGCGTCGTATAAATGAAAATCACTTCTGCAATTTTATGGCGAACAATATTCTTCAGTTTTATAGGATACTTACCTTGCATACATCTCGATCAGTCCATGCTTTCACTTGTGTAGTCATTGTACGTGTATTATAAATAAAGTGCATAATTATTCAATTTAATGAAAATACCGCTTCGCTAATATTTAAACAATTCGATGAATATATCTTGACAGTGTGTGCTTAAAAATCCACAATTATTCTTACACTTGAATTGAAGGTGCAATACATTATTTACGGACGAATGAATGCCCTTGCGATTCTGCCTTTCAATTCTTCCGCCATTTTGAACGAGTGAAAGGGAATTTATTTATTCATTAGCGTGCGTCACATCGAGGCTGGTCTAAATGAAGCGATGCGATTCAGTGAACGCTTGACCTAGTAGTACACGTTACCACAGGCCTAACTGAAACTGTCGGCCGAATATACCACTTTCAGTTGATCATACGCGAAAAAATGGATATTGAACTTTTCGTGAAGGTGAGTTATGGCATGAATTCGTGTTGTTTCGTAGTCATGAGAGCTAGTGCACTGTGGAAACGTTAGGTGGATATTGACTGTGTCGGGGAGACTACCGTGAAAGCACGGACGGAATCCGCGTTACCGGGACTCTGCGTAAACTCAACCTTTATATATATACATATCTCGACTGTTAATCGCGACTATATGCAGTGGGTATTTTCGTACTGATATCAACGTCGACTAAAAACAGATAAGTGTTATCTGACATGCTAAACAGCACCGGCGTACTATATCACAGCCTAAGACCCAGCCGCACCCATTAACAAAGCACGCCTTTCTATAGAACGGTATTTTGAATGACATTGCAGCCACCAGCTTTTATAGCAATGAACACCACAGTGTTTCCCCTGTCAGGTCGACTTCTCGGCTATGAATACATGCATAAGCAATGCCGTCTCAGCAGCGAACCACAATACTGAGGCAGTGTCTTAGGCGTTGACTATACGATGTACTATGAGTTTGGTACTACCGTGTTACGCGGGCGTCGATCGGCTAATTTGTGGGACAGTAACGTATTACCGATCTCAATCGTTGAATTTCTTACGACAATTTCCACGGACTCGAAGAACCAGTCCCTGAAATTGCTCTAAGTGGCGATTCGATTTCACTCCATGATATTTGTTTTATGTCAAATCCGTTGAATTGTCATGATCGCCATTCAAATAGAAAAAAAAACGTGCGATGTCATGGTCACTGATTGCTTATGACACAGATTGTTTGCTACCTACACCACCTAGCGCCTCGATAAACCCGCCTCGACGTCAAACGTCAAATTGATTAAACTCAAATGTATGAAATTGTAATTGTATTATGGCAAATATTCACTGTTGACAGTCTGCACTGATCCGCCATTTTAGAATTTATAATGAGTTAATAGAGAGCACAATATTCACTGTTATGTTCGCACAGAGTGAGTCGAAGCAGCGAGTAAATCATGCAGATTTTTTCGTTAAAAATTCAACATCTGCAATAAACTGATTTGCGTCAAATATTTATTAGCAGGTATTTTTTCTTTCGTTATGATGACCGCGAATCCTACGAGCGACCATGCCGATTTCTTATGTTAATTTGAATACGGCTAATATTTACATTTCATGTGTTTGATGAGACGGGCAGTTCGTCTTATTTTTATTCAGTACGCACCCGCACTGTTGTATTACGTGCGGATCTATTTTGTAATACACGGCTCAATTAGGCCAGCCAATGACACGCGCTTCTTTGTGTCCAACCTGAATGCTCAGAAAACTGTGGTTGATGGGGGTCAGTCAACACCGGAGAATACCTGCGCATGCGCGGAACTGCTCAGAATGAGTCACACGGTATTTAACCTGTCCGTGACTATTGTGTTGCAAAATAGCACCATCATAACGCCAACATTCCGCGGTTATTGAACCTCATTGGGCGGAATACCCGGTATAGACGACATCCGGGTCTCTGAGTCAAATACAGGTGTGTCATAGCTTACGAGTGCGAAGAAGGAAAGGAGGACCTGGCATGAGTTGTCCTTCTTTATGATATCCGACTCGGAGTGTGAACTCCCTTGCCTTACAATACGATTTCGCTGTCCCACCTCATGACTCGGCACCTCCACACAATGAGCATTACCCATTAACCATATAGTTCCACCCAGATTGTGAATTCAATTTGTCACTGTCCAATCAGCAATATGCAATGACGTCACAGTCGCGGGTTATTTTATGAAAGTTTAATTTGGTTCAAATTTGAATTTGAATCAAATCTTTAAATGTTTCCTCATCAGATTGAAACTAAAAATAATATTGTAAACTTGATAATAAAAAGATGTAATCCCAGGGATCGGCAACCCCTTTAATCCAACATTACGTATGACTATAGCTCGGGACAGTTTGAGATTATGGTTATATATTTTAATTTTCCGGACATCCATGTTTACCCACAGAATAGACCTATTTAAAGGGCGGTGGTTTTAGTCGCGTCCTGTTCGATATGGGACTCACGGCAACGTATACAACGCGTGTAAAATACATTGTTTACATGAAATTCGAACACGCGCTGCACGACGACCACCGTCCTTTTAAATAAGTCTATTCTGGTGGGTAAACGTGGATGTCTAGGAAATGACAATGCCACCATGTATAATAAATATATCTGCTCACACCTACCATATTATTTTTCTTGAGAAACATTTAGTATGTTTATTAATTAAACATTTGTTCTCAGCGTAAAAGATCAAACGTACGTCGAAGTCTTATTTGCTGGGCTACGTGCACAAAATATATAATGATGTGTTGTTAATAATTGAATACGGTTAGAACTTATTAAGCACTGGTCAAATATATATTAATAAAAGCATTAAAATACAAAAATGCCTAGATGGTGAATACGCCCTGTTTGAGGGATAATGTCAACCATCGGAGTGGATGAAGCAATGAAACAATGCATATATATATATATATATATATATATACATTGTATATAGGAAGGTAGTCGATTATTCCAGGTGAGAGTGCTCGATACTAAACGATGAGTTTGTAGAGCAGATTTACATACGTGGACAGAGAAATTAAGACACGAAATATTCTATATGGAAATAACCAGTTTAATGAATATTAATTATATCAACGATCCTTGCGTGGGAAAGGTTGTGTTTATTTACTGCGCTATGTGGAAATACAGTTGGCATTATTTCAGCCATCAAAATATATACCTTCATATTTTCTGAAAATAATTTTATTTGCATATAATTCAATTAAACTGTGACAATGATCTAGTTTCTAAATATAGAGTTTGTGACATGCGCAGTGAAAACAAAGATGACCTACTCAATCAATTTCCCTTTTGTGTTTTACGCAATAGTACCCCTGCCACAAGCAGCCTTCAATTTTGTGGTCAATTACCTCTCTACGCACGGTCATTTTTTTCCCCGAATTGTTACACCTGGAAACGCACTACAAAAAATAGAAAAACATGTATGTGACAACCGAACTATTTATTAATGTATAAATTCAGTAAAAACGTGAATCCAATTTTATCGCAGACTACGTTGTGCACAGTAATATTATTATAGTGACCAAAAATGGCGCACATGATAAATCTAAGAAACAACGTTCTGTTTTCGTATATAGCTGGGAAAGAAACATTAATTACCATTATACTCAAAGTGTTTTCCTAACATCACTGTCATTTATTGTTACTATGCTTTTCACATCTTTAAAAGGACCACTTTTCTGTCGCAAATCATACATTTTATTCAGAATGAAGGCGTAAAATGTTTTATTAAACTGATTAAGTACTTTATTATCGAACTGTTCTCTACTCAACATCGCACATTGGTTGTGTGAATGTTATTTCTCTACTCCACGACAATTAATTTACGTTTATTTCGATAATGCAAGATTTAAAAATGTATGGCATTTCATATCGGATATCATTTGTGTACTAGACCCAGGATACCAGACTGTGTTGACCTGTCTCTTGGGGCATCTCGTGATAATATCGATAAATGACACACATTTCCAGAAATTTTGTAAATAGACAATTCATTTGACACATGTTCCATACGTTATACACTTTGAATAGGACGCCAGTCACTAAACCCTGGGCAATGTACTTACTTTGGTGTATTCTTATTTTAATCTAAATCAAAGGTATTTGTCACTGATATACATTGTCGGAATACAAAATTCATTATAACATGCAATCTCAGAATCTGCACTCATTGTGGATGGTTTTAGGGGGAAGTTAGCGCGGGTTACTCATCTAGATTTTTGGTGTGAGTGTTCCGCAGTCAGTTGAAAATTGTATCCAAAAAAATCAAGGTTGAGGATACTACATTTGGTCAAAAAGATCCCGTTGTATTCTCATCCCACCAACCCATCCATCCATCCCAATATTTAATTTTATCTCAACCCATCGACTCCAATATTCTATGGTGTTTCCATCCAACCAACCAGGCCATCCACACACTATCCCATTATATTTTCATCCCGCCAACCAATCTACCCACCCACTAACCCCATTGTATTTTCATCCCAACGTGACCAACCCATCCACCCACTATTCCATGGTATTTTCATCCTACCAACCCATCCATCCAACTATCCTATTGCATGTTCATCCAAATAAAACGATCCTATCTTGTTCTCATCCCACCACCCACTACACTTCACTCGTATTCTTATCCCATCACCCCACCTACATCCCCGCATCCCTCCACCCATCAATCTCATTATCCAATCGTGTTTTCATCTTATCATCCTATACCACCTTCATTCATGCCAGACGCATCCCCACACGATCCTATCGAATTGGAATCCCACATTCTCTAGTCAACGACTCCTTCCATCTCTTATCACATCCTACCGTTTCATTGAAACAATGTGCTTACTTACTACCCGAACTGTTACTGTTATAGGCCCACAAAAATGCTCTCGGATAAAGATACAATCATAAAACTGTTATTGACATCGACGCATTTGTCAATCTCAATAGAAATGCATTGAGTACAAGAACATGCAAAGTTCAATTCGTATCAGTGTTCCGTCTGCTGAATTCCAATGTGACATTTGAAATAGGATTAAAATGAACTACGCCAGTCTAGCCGTTATAATACGGCCAGTCAAGCATGTGGCCACTCAGACATTCCTTTGATATCCCACTTGTCTGTCTGATAAATTCCATTGAATACATGTCTACTCAAATTACATCAATGTTGATTTATAATCAATTAAATCGACACGTTTTTTCTGTAATTGAGGTTGGTTTATGGATTGTTTTTTATTGATTGGTTAATGTACAAATACGAAAAAGCAAGTCGAAAATGGACAATAAACCACACAGTTAGGCTACCGTGCTGAAATACTTTATATACAACGAAATATTCTGGACTGGGTTATACATACTGCAATAGTGAAATTAGTCACAGGGTTAGATTTTGATTTTTGCCACAATGCCGTAAAATCAGTTTGATCATCCTATTCCCAACAAGTATGCGAATGTTCCATAGTAGCTTTTAATACAGGTTCTAAATTTTACATTTTATGAGAAAAAAAGTCCACATTTTCACAAAAGAGGATTAGTTGTACACAGTTCTGAAAACAAGAGGACTCTTAGTCCTAAAATGCTGAAGTGAGAGAGGTCTTAATCACGTAGTCTGTATGGATAGCGCTTCTATATGGCATGTCCACAGTATCTAGCTATCTAGTCATCGTGTCTATCATAGAAACCTTAGCCATCATATTATGTTCATAACACGGACATGCAAGGCGAGGAAGTCAAAGGGCATACTAATATTACGTAATCAGGCAATCAATTAGTTACATTCCAGCTTCAGAAACTGTGGAAATTCGAATGAAAGCTGCAAATCCCCAGCGGTGCCAGTATTTGGCTGACCACGGAGACTTAATTATTCCTTGTTGTTTACCGAAATGACTGTCTGAGCAAAATAATCTCTTTACACAGATTAAGGGTTGACCATTTGAAGTTGAGAGGGGTCCTTTCACGTGCACATGCAAGTGTATCAAGAACTTTGGGACGCTCACCGAATGTTGCTCGCAATTTACTTCCATCACCACTTAGTGTCACTAAGAGATCCGCTACTATTTCAGTTCATTCTCCGTGACATTTACTCAGTGTTTATTTTCGTAATATTCAAGTTGCATAACAACACGGTTACTGTAAAATTATACACACGGATATGTGTATACACAGATTGTGGAGTACCAAGTTTCCGTTTAGCTGAGCGATACAGGTTGTTTCGTTGTGTGCACGCAGTTGCTCTCCAGACAGAACACCAGTCAATAACCCCCTTGTTGGTCCGTGGATATGGTGTTACGTGTTGTATTGTGTAATTTGTAACCCGGTTGTCTTTAATTGGCCAATGGGCGTTCTAGAATTGTCGTAACCTGGTTATAGCATGGTCTATAAGTTGAAATTATCGAGAACGCCGAATATGCGACTTATTTGTCGTAGATTGCCGTAACCATCACGTGACCCTGATTTATGGAGTCAATAATTCAAGTTACACACCGAAGTAGTTCGGATTGGCGAAGGTTGAGCATTGATTGTGTTTGTTCTTCGACGTAACGACTCTCGTCCTTGATGATTGCGACCATACATCAAGCTGCAAGGACTCTAGAGACTAATTGTTGAAGTGTGAGGGCATTTTTAACGATTCACTAAAGCGTGAACAGCATAATTGTGACGTGAAACCTATATATACATATACTGTCTAACTACTGCCCCCTTTAGTGACGAATGATTGACACAGTAAAGCTTCCTTGGCGACTAGTTCGAATGTACGTGTCATTCAAATGATTCGTAATACCATAGACCCTCTAACAGATGGTAATATACAGTATGTTCCAGTCGTGACGTAACGATGCATTGATACGTTATGATCAGAGGTTACGTGAATTCAGAGGGCGTAAGATCGTGTTGAACTGTAAGAGTACGACGCTGCAACTTCTGTATATCTGAAGTGGGTCACATGTTTTTTAAATTCGAACTTAATTCAGGCGCATTTGTTGGGTGGCGCAACATGTGGTCTTTATATAGTCTCTCTTGTCCACAACCATAACACGAACTTTGGTTGACCCCTTGACTATTCCCCTAGAGAAACAGTTGATACGTCACTTCCGCTTTGACAATACGCAGTGCTATTTCACACAACTTGCCGCATAGTTTTTTAAACAAGATGCTTACTGGCCGGATGAGTTGTGATTAATTTGGTTTAATTTTAAGAGAAGTTATGTTACTAGTATGCCCGCAACCGCACAATTCTCGTCTGTCATCGATGATATTATGAGCGTGGTGCTAAAATTAATAAGTATTGACATAAAAAAAAAACGTAGACACCGATAAAATATAGCTCAAATTTCGAAATATATTATGTATTTTTATTTTCGTACTGTGTGAAATATCGCGTCTTTACCTGTTTTTTTTTCGATTTTTTATTTTATATAATTTAGAATTAATTAATCTTCCAACAAATGTATTGAATTGCTGGCATAATGGTGAACTTAGAGTGAGTTAGCACTCAGTGACCAAGATAACTTAATTTCTTTCCAGAATACAGATGTATCGGGCTTCTACCAAAAGATTCGTGAATCTCGTTACATATCAACTTTTGAACGATGCTTTATTCACGGTCTTGTCACATTCAAAAAAAAAAAAAAAAAAAAAAAAAAAACATCACAGTACGACATTTGTGGTAATTTATATTTATTTTATTTAATTTACCACAAATGGGCCATTCCAGTTTATATCTGCACCCCCTGTTGATGAGCTTGTGTGTTTACTTCATACAGGGTATAATTTCCATGGGTGTATAAGTCATACAAAGTTTTATTTCCAAATCACCATTCACCATACAGTAATGGAAATCCAAAACTATAGTTCCTACTTATGGTGTTGATGAGTTCCATTGTGCCACCATACAGAGTAGGATTTCCAAATATAACTCTCATCATATGCTAATTTACCAAGTTCAAAATTATATATTTGATATGGAAATCCAATCTAGTCCTGATTCACGGTGTTGGTAAGCTCATTCGTGCCACCATCCTTATCTAATTTCAGTAATAACTATTTCATACTGGCCCAATTTTTTTTACCATATACAGTCAGAATCATACTGTTGGAAATCCAACCTCATCAACCAGTATGTGGCGAGATAAACTAGGCCATATTTTATTTAGTAGCCATAACTGCCTAGATTTTTTTCCAGAATTTTTTTTTTTCATACTCGTCTGGATTTCCAGATTCTGTTTCTCCATATACAGTTGGAATTCCGGGGTATTTTCCCCATCATACAGTGCTGAAAATCCAACCACATCAACAGAGGGGTGCAGATATTAACTGGAATGGCCCAATGTCGTATTGTGATGTTTCTTACATTCTTCTTGTCCGCCATACATGATAGTATTTTCCGTTATATTCTAAACATACTCATGCAAAATACACTGACGAGGCCACTATTTGAACGTCTGCTTCTAAAAGTAGAATGATTGGCCCGTGTAATTGAAAGGAGGCGCGTTGATTGGTGCATTTATAAGCTACGGAATACTACAACGTAGTAACCACCAGGTGACAACAAAGAAGTCGAGGTTTTACTTCGACTGTACGTTAGCTAGGGCTTCGGTAAACCCTCTCTATCCCAGATTGAGTTGAGTTGTCTACCATGCTATATACTGGGACATTTCATATCCCATGTTGAGTTTACTTGAAGTTTGTGGCATAGCATAAAGTCGTCCAACTATGTAAGGAAAACCATGTCAGACTATATATTCATGGTATATTCACAATATACTTGTTTCGGCGAAATTGTCTACAAGTCGTGTAAGGATTCATTATTTTGAGCCGCGTTGTGGGTCCAAGGACATTGTTGTCATACTCACAATGTGTTTTTCTTTTTCTGTAGGCGGGCACTGACGGCAAAAGCCTTGGAGATTGTCCATTCTCACATCGTATACAGATGATACTACAACTAAAAGGCTTAGAATACAAACTCATACCAGTCAATATGAAAATCAAACCACGTGGTTTTCTAGATATAAGCCCTGCGGGAAAAGTACCGGTGCTCACACACGATGGCGGTAGGATGGACGACTCGACGGCCATAGCGGAATATCTAGAAACCACTTTCCCAGAACCAAAGTTGAGGGCGGACAATGTGGCGGCAGACAATGCTGGGGATAGGTTATTTCACAAATTTGCAGCGTAAGTATACAGGCGGTCAATAATTGTTTGTGTTGAGCTTGCCAAACAATTGATAAATGTATTTTATTTTAGTATTTGTATTTGTGTGTAAACAGCCCTTGTATGCTTTAGCCTGCAGGCACGGCATTCTTATAGGTAACATGGAGTGACGTAATCGCGATGATGCAATGTGACGTCACCAGACGTAATGGCGCTTTGCACCATTCCTTAGGGACGACGTCAAAAAATCGATGTCGGATAAAAAACTTAATTCTTTTAGTTTTTTCCCAAAACCCCCCACCCCCCACTGAAACTTAATTGATAAATGTTGATCATGGCGTCAGACCACATTCACCATTAAATACAAATTGATAATCGGACAGGAATATGGCATAGCAGTTGGTTGTAATAATGAAGCGGAATATACGCATGCGCAAACTACTTTCTGGGTTCTGCGCATGATCTAGGTCCATGCCCTGAAATTGACCTCATTTCACGCACATATTTACACTCGGACCAAACTATTTCTCGTCTTGGATGTTTGTTTTTTTCATTTTCTGTTATTTTTGACTATGATTGGTTAGAAAAAAAAACGAACTACAAATACTCCAAGGTTTTTTTGACTTCATTGAAAAATAAAATCGTTTTTGTAGGATAGACACTTTTTGAGGTCAACCCCCCACCCCCACCCCCAAACTAAAGCAAATAAGTTGTTTATCCGACATCGATCTTTTGGCGTCATCCCTTATCATTATACCTACCTCTTTATCGTTCGTTCGTTACCTTGCAGAGTGTTAAAAAACAGGGACGCGTCAGCCGAGGTACATCTCAAAAATGCCTTGCTCACTGAAGTCCGAAAGCTGAATAATTTCTTATCCAACTCACCGGGTGTTTATCTAGATGGCGATACGCTTAAACTACCAGATTGCAATATTCTACCCAAATTGTATCATCTTAAAGTAGCAGCCAAACACTTCAAGGTAAATACGTATATTGTAGAAGTTTAACCTTTTAAGCCAAATGCGTGTTACAAGAATATAGTAGCTAACCTTTTTTTTTTTAAATCTTCCGTGATCCTTGTTGATGACGTCAACATCAGTTGTCCCGTTCCGCTCTGCGTCTCACGCGACGTTCACGCAAAATTTGTACGCGCGCTGCGACTTTTGAGTTTCAGTCATTCACAAATATGTCATATCTTTAGGGACAAATACTTAATACGACTGTCAACTTCAAGTCATCACAGTCGCCGAACCGCGTCATGTTCGACGTAGGTCCCGTGCGACGTATGCAACGTGTGTATACTGGCAGTTAATTTGTTTACACGAATTTCGAACGCACGCTTCGTGACTACTGTCGGGGCGCTTCAAAATGTTAAATACTTTATTTTATATGGAATTAATTTTCGCTGAAAAGACGTTTTGAGTGTTTTGTATGAAATTTATTTTTACTGATTTTTGACGAGTTGAATGTAAAATATAGGAAAAAACGGTATCATCGTTGGATTTCTTTTCACTGAATCAATTCTTCAGCGAAAATAGCAGAAATTAATTCCAAGCGAAAACAAGTATTTTGCAGTATTTACCCCTACGACTACGTTCCGTCGGAATTGGATTTGAATTTCGGGAGACTCGAGGATGTTGATAATTACGAGATAAGCTTTTAAAAGTATCTATATTGAAACATATTTATCTAAGCAACTAATTGGAAAAAAGTTAACAATGGTCTTTCTTGCATCCGGCCATTTCCGTAAGACTGCTGAGGTGCAGCCGCCGGTTATAAATTCCTAAAACAAATGTTACACGCGTCCATTTCGAATATTACGTTATATTATTGAGATCATTGTGATTGTTATAAGACTGTGAAGCAAACTTTAAAAAAAAAACTGCCACTGACTAACTTGAAATAAAATCGGACAATCATACCAGCTCGCGTATTTTTTACTAAGTTACATTCCCACAATGTATGATCTGCAGAAAACCTCTTACCAATCCATGAAATGGAGGACTATCTAAAATAAAGTGGTCTTTTAGTGATTACAACACTGAGAATGATGTGTCATTACGACATTAGTCCAGGCTTCAGTGTTCCAATGTTTTTCAGGATTTCTTTCCAAATCTCAATGTTATTATAAACTTGGTGTAGTCTGAACGCAGCTTACGTGTCCATATATTAATATAGAAATATTTGCAGAATATATGCAGAAATATTCCGCATAGGAAAATATGTAAAAAAAAAAACGGTAATACAGACTATTACAATAAAATGTTGGCCTCATTATAAATAGTCGAGTTGATAAACAGAGGCCTTTAACCTATATATTTATTGAACTGCAATGGAATTTTAAATACCCAGTAACAGCTTGTCAATCACAATTTTAGGCTTTGATATGCGAATTACTAGGTTGACTTTTATATTTTCGCATTTTTCAACGCTAATTATTGTTGGTGCATCTTTCGCACAGGATTTTGAAATACCCGATGAAATGGACGTGTTAAAGACTTATATGGCGACAGCGTTTCAAACAGAAGTTTTCAAGACCACGGCGTACCCAGAAGAGGAAATCATTAATGGATGGGCTGATCATCTCGGTGTGCCGGTCAAGAGGCGCTAGATGGTGCTATTTGGGACTTTGTAATTAAAAACTGAGTACACTAATACACGTGACCCACTCGATATATTGAATGTAGTTGACTCGATCCTCGTCCCAAAAGTCTTTGCGCCACGCTCGGATAAGCGTAACACAGAGACTCGTGGTACAAGTTACAAGTCAATATCTAGTAACGTAGTAGTTATTTATATGAACAAATCTTTGAACTTTTAATTATTTAGTCTAAAAGTATAGTTTAATATTAAAGGCGGTTGTCCTCGCGCCACGCATGCGCCAGATATGTGTTCTATAATAACGAGATTGTTGACAACATTCATCAGTATTCAGTGCGCACACTTACACAGAAACAACTTCAAGTCTTGCGTGCAAATCAGAGCGTACAAGTAAATGGACAATACCAATATTCGTACGGGTAAAATACGATCTGTCCCATAAGCGCCGTGAGCACCGTGACTACGTCCATTTCGCTCAGATCAAATCTCACACTTGCCGCCATATTAAATTGACAGTAGAGCGCGGTGGATTGTGGGAAAATAAATGTATTTATCATCACAGATGTGCATATGCGTGACGCGACGACCATCGACCTTTGATGATTTTATTTTAAGATGACGTGTTTCTAATCTAATTGTGTTAGTATGTGTATCTGAAAAACGAAATAATTATTAATATTGGTCGTTAGTGGCGCTATATCACCGATACATTTTGTTTCCATTTCCAATATTTTTAGTTAGCATACGGTCTTTCTGTTTGACTCGATGCGGATATCAATTTTGCCGTCAGAAATTGTTGCCTACAAATGTGACTAGAAATGTATATATAGTTGTTCACTAAATATATTATATTGTAGTGTTTATCGTCATAGCAACGTAGAAATACCGTATTACTACTTATAATAATAATAATAATAATATTACCACCCTTAAATCGTCAGTCAAGGTTGAAATTAGGTAGGATGTTGACCTTTGTAGTTTGTGCGAAGACACTTCGATCATACCGTGTATCGCCCCTCTTAACGGTGTGAACGCTTTAACATTAAAGCGGGAGGGTCGTCACCTGCGCACGCGCGGGAATTGAGTCCCAAACGACGTTAACAACACGCGCTAAAAACGCAAAGGCTCATGGGTAGACGCTTGTTTGTAAACAAAGACACGCTATGGCCACCCGACGAAAGCGCAGGTGACGACTCTCCCCGCTTGAAGATTTTATTTTTTTAGGAGAGTATGAATCAGTTAATAACATGACGTCATGTGTATTTTTAGTTAGATATTACAATTAGGTTACGAACTTTTATTCTTAGTTAATGCATGTAAAGGAGTGATAATTCATAACAGTATTTAATAATTCCATTTTAAATAGTTAGGGTGTTTTGATTTGTTCAACCAAATATACACTTTTGTAAGATTTGCTTTGTAAGATTGTTCCAATTCAGGGAAAAAGAGTGCGTCCATTGCGCAATCGCAATACGTCTTGTGTATTTCATTCTAGGGATCATCCAAATACATGTATATATTTACATGTATTATGCCGTTTTCGTTTTTGTTTTTTGTGTGTTTCATTTCATTGTATCATTGTACGCAAATCCGATTAAGATCCGATCGGATGTAGATAGAGCCTCCGCTTGCTTCTAGTTCCTGTCGCCGGTGTACACCGCCTGTAACTAGTTTGAGGCGAAATCACCGGCGACAGCATCTAAATACATCGGTCATGTACGCAAACGCAGTACAGTCCACTGCAGAAATTGACGAGTGCGAAAGATATAGAAACGTTCATGTATGTTATAATATTTGTACATACTAAATCTGATTGGCTAATATTATGAAGTCGGTACGTTGTTCTTTTTTTGTCTACTCGATTGTTCTGTTACCTGTTACAAACTACTGGTTCGTCACGAGCAACAGTGTCGAAGTTAACACAATATACTGAATAATGTTTGCACATTAAATTAAATTCGGCAAAATTTCGACAATTTCTTTTCAAATTGTATCTACAAAAAAGAACTTTTGCCTAACACTGTAAACTGGCGTTGCTACGAATCGCTGCATAAATGCAGTTTTTTTTTCAATTTTAATTAAAATAATTTTTTAATTATTATTTTTTCAATCTTATTTGTTCTAAATTAATATTTTGTGAGACCTTGTTTATGTTTGATTTTGTAAGATTCAGTGACAACAATGTAATGTTCGGAAATAAATATTCTTTATATCTCAAAATTCAGTTTATTTGTTATAATATGTTGTGGGAAAATCTCAGTGAACCGATAAATAAGTGACCCTGCCCAGCTTATCTCTTTAACATTTGCCCCAGAAACCGCGTTTCCAGTAGACAAGGCCAGACGAAGTAATTTCCATATTTCTAGAACGGTTTCACGATGTTGAACACGCATACGAAATGTTCCCACCTCATTGCTTATTAGATAAAGATAGGGAGTCATAATCAGCTCTGAAAACGAGGCCGAAACTTCATAAAATTTTAGTCAAGAGGTAAGACGTGTACTCTGCTTTACACACGCTGCTAGCGAACAACAAGTGGAATTTTTTACTTTTACACACGGAAAGGTGATGGAGCTATATGTGAAGGTAAGCTTTGTAGTCTTTTTTAAAACAACTGAAGTTATTTTATAGTTTGCGTCTATCTCTGTATAGTCACCGATGAACCTACTGTTTGAAGTCCAGCGACCAGTAGCCAATTCCAGCTAGTGTGCTGTTCCATTGACCGACAACCACCTAAAAATGGCCTAATTATTGGCGTGTAATCGTACATACCATTACCAGGCCCCGCTTATACCTCGAATTCCAAATCATTCAGCTTAATAGCCATGGCAACTCGATGATGAATATTATCGGTAAGAACGTGTTAGATGTGACCTTGTTTTTTCGTGTTTTATTTTTTATTTTTTCCGACGTGTTTATGAACTAAAATCGCCGACATGTTCAATTTGGAGCCAGAGTAGTCATAAAACAGGTGATTACCGTGACCACTCCCAATAATATCAGTTGTTAATGATATACAATCTCCCAGTTAAGCTACTGCCATGAAACGAAGGTATTTGTAATTTAAACTAAGGCTAGAAATTAAATTCCGATGTATTATGGTGGTTTTATTATTTAAAACGTCAAATTACCAATAAATAAAACAATAATAATAACTTCATTACATATCTGTCAAGCTATTCTTCATAATTGTGTATGAAAAAATTAGTAAATAAATTGGTAAAGAATAAATATTGACTTGAACCAAGCTGGGTGTGGATGGGGTTTGTCAAAAATATATCACTGAACTTTTTTGTATAAATTTAGTAATTGCATCTGATATCTGCACCCCTTATATACTGTCTGTATAATCTGGAAAGTAAAGTGGCTTAAGGTAGAAAAGCCTACTCATAAATTAAAGAAAACAGAATTTATTCATTTTGCAATAAATTGTACTCCAAGGCAATATAAGGATATTGACCTAAGAAAAGTTGGGGGTCACCAGCCTTTTTTTCGAGAAATTGATGGTTGTATTTTAGTAGAAAGTCGCTATTTTGATACTATTATAGCGATTTTACCACAGGTTCCTATGGCAGAGATGCAATATCTCAAAATCTAACCTGGTGACATACATGTAGGCTGAAAAAATCATATATTGTTAGTGATGGAATACTTTTTGTTGTCTGAATTATTTAAAAAATCTGGGTTTTAAAAAGTGTAAAAAAAAATAATATTTTTCTTTAACATTGTGTTCAATGGAATTGTTCTAAAAATAGCAATTTTCAAGAAATATTAGGACACGTTTCTCAAAAAGCTTAACTGTAACACACAAAATAATGCTATTTCATTGTACCATGAGACATTATCTTCATGATTGTATATAATAAACTCATGAACATTGTCATGTGATTTATGACCAATTTTGTCAAAAATTATGACTAGGCTTTTGCCTTAAAGGGCAGCAGTTCTATATGAGACTCATAGCGATGTATATAACATGTGTAAAATGTAGGTGCACTATACACTATAATTTTTATTGAAATAAGAGGCATTTTGACTGCGGATTATGCTCAAATTTGGACCTACAAACTGTTACTGTGGAATACTTTATTTTCGCTGGAATTAATTTTCGCTTAAAAGGCTTTTTGGGCGTTTTGCTTGGAATTTATTTTCACTGATTTTTCATGAGTTTAATGTGAAATATAGGAAAAAAAATTATATTCACTGGATTTTATTTTCACGGAATCATCCCTACAGTGAAAATAGCGAAAATAAATTCCAAGCGAAAATAAAGTTTTCTACAGTACTTTTATTTCTTATCTCTGGTGCAGTTTTTTTAGTCTGTGGGTAGAATGAGGAACAGTGATCTTTTTTTGTTGCCTAACTGACAACAAAACATTGGGAGTATCATATTTTTGAATAAAAATTGAATGCTTGAATTTTTCAAGCCTAAATTCATTTATTTGGCTGTTGCATCACCTTATTCACACTATACACCTGACATATAAAAGAAAAAAAAAACTTGTAGTCACAAATAGAGCTTTTGGTATTTATTTATTTGTGTTCACACATCTGTGGTTAGCTATTACAAAAAAAAATCTGACACCATATTTTCGTAGTACCACAAACGTCTTGCCCAGTTTCAGGCTTAAAGAACTTATTAACAAATATATGATTCTCAGAAAAGTGGGTGATATGATAGCCTAAATTAGATTGTATAGAAAGCAAAAAAGAACATTTTACCTCAAAATTATCTTATAAATATTGAATAAAATATAGTAAATTCACTGATACTATATAGTTGTAGTTTCTAAAACAAATTTCTGCTACAATTTTCTTTACTAGTATATTTCATAAATGCAATACTGTACACTTTCCCTTCTATGTTATTACCTCAAATGTTAATTTGGAAATAAGTCACCCCATGATGTTAAAAGTTAAAAAATTAGCCCCAAGTTGTATAATTTCCCCACTAACTGACTGACCTCTGAACTTTTTGTATGGGAATTGGAGCCTGCCTGGGGTCAAAGGTGGATGGTAACACAATCACAGCCAATATGTAGTTGTTATTGAGGTTTCAACAGTGTAGTACTTGTGTTCTGGTATGTAGTTTGTAAACACTGGTTTTTATTTTATTGTTGCGCATCATGTCTTAAGTACACAACTGTTTAACATGACAAATCCTAACTGAGCGATTGTACGTGGACACCCTATATACCACATGAGAATTCCTGTGTGTTGTTGCGTACTTATTGAATTACCTTCACAAATTGACATCGGTGTAATGCACTAAGGTGACAATAACCTGCTGAATCTGAGCATTGTCCTTTGAACACCTTGAATTTCAAAGTCCACTTTCGTTGGTTTTCACAAAATAATTTTTACTCGTGTAAATTTTGAAAAATGTAATCAAGACTTGTCATCGATAAGGAATTATGTCAATTTCATCCAGCATGCATGACTAATCATTTAAAATGACCAGTTGGGAACTTTAAATCTAATTTATTAAGATTCCTGCATGAAGTTACAGGGATAGGAAAACGTGCATCATTATGGAAAGGGGGAATAATGTTTTCTCTTGTCCATATTACATAATTATGAGTAAAATTTGATGTTTATTTTGTGAGGGTACATGTATCAAATTATAGTACCTACCACATTGAGAATACAAACATAATAAACATGTAAATTATTCAGATTAATTTGGATTTGTTAACAATTTAAATGCCATGGGGAATGAAAGTCAGTTGTGAATTGATGGGAATTGAAAATCAGTACAAGAAGTCTATAAAATTGGAAAAAAATATTTTGCACATTACGCCCATTGCAAAGCATCTGGTTTATTTGAACAAAATTGAAGTTTAGTTAATTTGTAGCTATCTGCGCACAATTAAATATCTTTTCTGACCTATTGTGCTGTGTTTATGTCAGTGCTCGTATATCATATTTACTATTAATAGCATATATTCAAGTACCGTACTCCCTGTCATAAGCCAAGGGGCCTGAACATGTAAAATCAGGAAAATTAAGTGGTGGGCTTATACTCTAGGACCGCCTCAGAAAAGATGATTTTTTTGGGGCGTCCTAGATTTCAATGACAATCAATCATGTTCTTAAAAATACACACATTTTATTACAATAGGATTTACATACCGTCTGAATTTACGGTGTAAAAATGGGCAAGGTCTGTGGGGAAAACAGTCAAAGGCAAGATCTTTATCATTATTTTCGTTGTGGAATGTTTTCGAGCATATGCAAACTCGTGATACAAAGCAATTTTCGCCATGATGCTTTTCACCACGATTTCACCTGAAACAATGTCTTTTGACCTAACAGTCCTTCGTTAACCAATCAAAATGTGTCATACCATCGAAGTTTTCTGTTTATTGACGATGTAATTTTCCTAACGCAATGCAGAAGTGATTTTCTGCGATGTTAAAATGCGTTCAGTTAGCACTAAAAATAAATGTGATATTTCCCTAAAAACTGGTAATTCGAATTTTCGAAAAGGTAAACTGAGTGTGAAGGAAGTATAATAAACACCTTTCCCGGTTGCCAACAGGTCATGTCGAAGAAGAGTTTACTCATTCACACCCCATTGATGATAATCTCAATGGACATGATTGTTCTGAAAAGTAAAACGATGAACCAAACTACCGTACTAAGCTCGATTTTTATGCAATGAAACATACTTTTTATATGCATATTTTATTAAATGTTGTCGTCTATTGGAAATGAGGTGCTTTTAATGGAGCAATGTGGTTCATGGGATTCTGTTGGAGATGAGGTGCTTCTAATAGAGCAAATATGGTTCATGGGATTCTATTGGAGATGAGGTCTTCTAATAGAGCAAATATGGTTCATGGGATTCTATTGGAGATGGGGTGCTTCTAATAGAGCAAATATGGATCATGGGATTCTATTGGAGATCAGGTACTTCTAATAGAGCAAATATGGTTCATGGGATTCTATTGGAGATGGGGTACTTCTAATAGAGCAAATATGGTTCATGGGATTCTATTGGAGGTGAGGTGATTCTAATAGAGCAATGTGGTTCATGGGATTCTATTGGAGATGGAGTGCTTCTAATAGAAAAAATATGGTTCATGGGATTCTATTGGAGATGGGGGTACTTCTAATAGAGCAAATATGGTTCATGGGATTCTATTGGAGGTGAGGTGCTTCTAATAGAGCAATATGATTCATGGGATTCTATTGGAGATGAGGTGCTTCTAATAGAGCAAATATGGTTCATGGGATTCTATTGGAGATGAGGTGCTTCTAATAGAGCAAATATGGTTCATGGGATTCTATTGGAGATGAGGTACTTCTAATAGAGCAAATATGGTTCATGGGATTCTATTGGAGATGGGGTGCTTCATACTAATAGAGCAAATATGGTTCATGGGATTCTATTGGAGATGGGGTGCTTCTAATAGAGCAAATATGGATCATGGGATTCTATTGGAGATGGGGTGCTTCATACTAATAGAGCAAATATGGTTCATGGGATTCTATTGGAGATGGGGTGCTTCTAATAGAGCAAATATGGATCATGGGATTCTATTGGAGATCAGGTACTTCTAATAGAGCAAATATGGTTCATG